CCGTACTTTAAGACGAGTATCGGTTTGGACCGTGCGATGTGGTGTATGACGATATCGATCAAACGTCTCATCGCTCGCACCTGGTACAATGCGTCTAAATAAACAGTCGAGCGAGAACTGACAAGTGTTTGCACGTGCCAGTCTCGAAATGTGATTTTTCTCTTTTCTTTTTGTGTTTTGTATTTTTTTTTATTTTGTCGAATCCAACTTCAAGGGAGAAGACTCGTACGAAAACAACACCTGTCTAACTGTTCAGTATTATATTCTTACCGTGCTATTCATATGTATAATCATACCCATTGTACAAACCAAGCGTTTACTTTTCTCAAAGGACTATACTTCCTTTATAAAGCTTTTCCCAACGCTTATCGTCCTCATTTCATCGATATATTTTTAAAGATGAGAGCTTAATTTTTTTTAAAATTACGGCAAGTATTTTGGGTACAAATTTCGGAATTACTTAATTTAAACATCGAACTTTTCATACTTTAAAATTCAGACAGTCTCTTAAATCTACTTGCAGCTAAAGTTAAAAATTTTGTATTTGTTAAAATTGCCAGATATATTGTTTGTATTGTGATTTCGGTGATTTTGTTATCTGAAATTTGAAATTTTGAAACTTATTGTTTTACGAAATGTGTATTTAACTGATTATACTCTGTTTTCAAAACATCTTGTAGATTACGATTTAATGTAGTGAACCGCAGTAGTTGTTGGTTTAATACGTTCGGTGTTATTAAAACTGCAGTGGATTTTTTTAAATAGGTCAATAGATGTTTGTAGATCGAATATTTGATTTTCAAAAGGCAGCAGGTCAAAATGAAAATTTAACACCCAAGTAATATACGAATTGAACATTGTTGGTTGTAGTAGCATAGCTAAATGACAGCAAAGAGCAAGGTCCACCAAACATGAAGTCTAGCCCGAAATATAATTCAAGGCTAAACTAATTCATGCGACGTAATAAAACTATATAAATAAATACTCTACAAAACAGATGAACGAATTTATGATATTAGATAATACTTATCCTGACAACTCTATGTGCATATTCGTTTCCATCCTCGACAGTTTGACGGTGAGCTTCAAGGAAAAACTTCACCTTCAACCTCAGCCTCACTCATACGTGACTGCAACCACACCTAGATTCTATGCGGACATGAACTTCCTCTTCCGTTATGAATTCATTTACTACTAAATCCTGACACAACTCTATGTGAAGAATTCATCGGAAACGAGGTGAAGATATGTAATGTGAAACTGCCGATAAGATCAAAAATAAACAATTCACTTCTTAAGACGTCCACAAGTCGTTAGACGATAAATAGGTCAATTAATACAACTAAAATCTCGTAACGTAAGGAGATTGCCTACAAATTGGAATGTACCCTTAAGGTTTCGTCGTATAAATCTCTCAAATAAAAGTTTGCGAAGGTTGTATCGCCAGACCAAAAAAAAAACAGCCTCGCATAATGTCCGACGTTGAAATATTATTATGTATGGTAGCACCATATGCCCTAATTTCGTTAGTTCGATCTGAAACCGGTGGAGGGAGGCCGGCACTTATGTAAGCATCCAAAATAACTGAGTGAAGCTAAAAAGCAATAGTGTTCTTTTTCACTTCACCATGTTTAACTTTCAAAGGAAAAAAATAAACTCTTGTGAAAACCTGCAGACTTTTCTCAATGTAAAGTTTCAAAGGCCTAACCGGGCACAGAAATAAATCCTCATTGTCATCTGGTCCTAAAATACTGCTGAGGGGCCTGATAACAAATGTTCTGTCAGGATCCCCGGTTTCTGATTTTTAGCTCCAAGGTCCCACATTAACCAAAGTTCAAAACGCCATTCTCACCCCTTTGGCGTTTCACCTGCTGTACGTCACAGCAGTCCAAAATTTGCCGCCATATTTAAAAAATAAAGTAATCTTGGCACGATGCCCGTACCAGTAAGTTGGATATTGATCAAAAGGTGACGTCACATTTGTATTTTAACTGTAAAGAAAAAAACACATTAAGTAAGTCCTATGATCGTTCAGAAAACGTTAAGTAAAAAATAAATGTCTCATGTTTTATGTATAAACGTAATCGACAGTTATTGTATAATATTATAACGATGCTAATGCAATAAACTTCACTCGATCTAGCTAAAATGGTATAGCGAATAGTTATGGTTCAATACTACTCGTAAGTCATTGACTATACAACTGATTTATTTACATGTAAAATATGTACCGTAATAGAATACTTGTTTTTCTTTTCTTTTTAAACTACGACCCCTTTATATGAATGAGGAAGTAATATAGATTGTATAACTTATATCAAATATATTATAATCTTAAACTAAAATGGCGATAGTTGTGTTACTGATAGGAATATTAACTCAAACAATATTAGGTATGTTTTTATATCTTATTATATTCATATATAATCTTATAGTACATATAATAATTATGTTGTATAATTTATTCATTATAGCTTCAATTATTCATTGTGTAAATGTATAAATACTAATAAACTGAATCTTAGAGGTTCAATGTTGAAATGACTTATCTGTTATTGTGATCATGTATCTTCTTTCCCCTTTATTATTGATATAATCTTTTTATGATATAATCATAGTATTACCTGTTATAATAACAATGTAATAGACAGTAACTGTATAATATTCTCTTTTCTATTCTAGGTCAAGTTATAATAAATACTGAACCTAATGAACTAGTTGATGGAGAATCTGGTAGTGTTACCTGTTCTTATAACAATGTAATAGACAGTAACTGTATAATATTCTCTTTCTATTCTAGGTCAAGTTATAATAAATACTGAACCTAATGAACTAGTTGATGGAGAATCTGGTAGTGTTACCTGTTATTATAACAATGTAATAGACAGTAACTGTATAATATTCTCCTTCTATTCTAGGTCAAGTTATAATAAATACTGAACCTAATGAACTAGTTGATGGAGAATCTGGTAGTGTTACCTGTTATTATAACAATGTAATAGACAGTAACTGTATAATATACTCCTATTCCAGGTCAAGTTATAATAAATACTGAACCTAATGAACTAGTTGATGGAGAATCTGGTAGTGTTACCTGTTCTTATAACAATGTAATATACAGTAACTGTATAATATTCTCCTTCTATTCTAGGTCAAGTTATAATAAATACTGAACCTAATGAACTGGTTGATGGAGAATCTGGTAGTGTTACCTGTTATTATAACAATGTAATAGACAGTAACTGTATAATATTCTCCTTCTATTCTAGGTCAAGTTATAATAAATACTGAACCTAATAAACTAGTTGATGGAGAATCTGGTAGTATTACTGTTATTATAACAATGTAATAGACAGTAACTGTATAATATTCTCCTTCTATTCTAGGTCAAGTTATAATAAATACTGAACCTAATGAACTAGTTGATGGAGAATCTGGTAGTGTTACCTGTTATTATAACAATGTAATAGACAGTAACTGTATAATATTCTCTTTCTATTCTAGGTCAAGTTACAATAAATACTGAACCTAATGAACTAGTTGATGGAGAATCTGGTAGTGTTACCTGTTATTATAACAATGTAATAGACAGTAACTGTATAATATTCTCCTTCTATTCTAGGTCAAGTTATATTAAATACTGAACCTAATGAACTGGTTGCTGGAGAATCTGGTAGTATTACCTGTTATTATAACAATGTAATAGACAGTAACTGTATAATATTTTCCTTCTATTCTAGGTCAAGTTATAATAAATACTGAACCTAATGAACTGGTTGCTGGAGAATCTGGTAGTATTACCTGTTATTATAACAATGTAATAGACAGTAACTGTATAATATTCTCCTTCTATTCTAGGTCAAGTTATAATAAATACTGAACCTAATGAACTGGTTGCTGGAGAATCTGGCAGTATTACATGTTCTTGTAACAATGCTTATACAATAATTATATCTCGATATGGGCATGATAGTAATATAGCTAACTGTTTTGTTTCTATACGAGAACAAGATTGTAATATCCTAAATCCTTCATCATCAAACAACTATACCGACTATAGAGGATTCTATACAGCATCTAAAACAACTACTAGTTTAACTATACATATTGATACAGTATCTAAACAAAGAGATGGTGGTATCTGGAGATGTAGAGTGGATGAACTTCCATCTGAATCATTTCAAATCAATAAAACTATTAATGTTAAAGGTAATTCTATGTTACTAGAGCTTCATTATTTCATCTAGTTTTAATTATATAGACTCTTCATAAATAAATATTTATAACTAAAACAAATTCGATAAGGTTGTCTGCACT